GCAGTCCAAGGTGAAACCAAGAATGTCAAATCTGCTATGCACCATACCGTGCAATAACATGTTTCACCATCACAATTCTATCACTCTAGTAGAGTCAATAATAGGTGTAGGTACAAAAGCAAATAAAAAGTACGACAAGAGATAACTGATGAAATGATAGAGATAATATTTCATCATCCAACATACAGGAATACAAAGTAAATGTCTGAAATGAATAAACTGGAGTTTTTAACAAATCTCAAATACAATAAGTCTGAGTAAAGGAAATAAGGCACACTGCCTTTACAACATCTAGAATAAAATCCTCGACAGTCTAAACAAAGTCTATAGTGGAGCTCCAAAATAAAGCATATCTAGAATATATAGCCGAACACTAAAGTGTGTCGCCATCAACCTGCGACTTTCCGGGCTTATGGCTCGTTACCTGAAAGGGGGAGGGACAACGAGCGTCAAAGCGCTAGCGAGCAACATCACAACCAACCCCAAGGGAGAGGGCTCGATGTATAAGAAAATACAGTTATCACAAAATATATATATGTATAAACAATTGTCCTGAAGCAAAGGGGGGTCTTAGTACTTAGGAAATTTCAACACGAGCATAGGTACGTCGAGCGAAATAATCCAAACAAGGAAACCCTCATGTATATACCTTGTATCTCAAATTGAAAATCCCTAAGTACCAAACCCGGAGTCTAATACGGGAACAAAAAATAAGTAAAAGGAAATACAACCTATCTCAGACATGAATACAGTATTAAGTAATGACCTACCTAAATACCATGTTGTATTCTACATAAGTATCATATCATACTCACATGAGTGACGTGTCAGAAAGCGATTAAGTGTCCAAAACATAGACTATATAAATTAAATGTCCAACCCATAGACTGCATGAAGTAAACGTCCAACTCATGGACTGAATATAACCGTTGTCCAGCGCATGGACCGGATGTGACCGTTGTCCAACGCTTGGACCGGATGTGACCGTTGCCCAACGCCTGGACCGGATGTGACCGTTATCCAACGCCTGGACCGGGTGTGACCGTTGTCCAACGCCTGGACCGGATGTGACCGTTGTCCAACGCCTGGACCGGGTGGTAATGCATATCCAGCACGAGGATTAAATAGCAATGCGTATCCAACACGAGGACTAAGAGGTATGTCCAACACGATGACTAAGGGGGGTAGTGCTTGTCCAACACGAGGACTGAGTTTAACCTAGTTTTCCCACCACATGGGCCAAATAGTATTCGTCGATGAGATGTATGAGGAGATATACTTATACAAATTTCACACTCAACTCGGTGTGTGATTCTAAACTGGCATTTTAAGCCATCTATCATGCATAGATACTTAGTAAAACTAAGAACCGAAGTTATATGATCAAGGCAAGCACTCGAACAAGTGTAAGGTTCAACAAAAATGAACAGGGCAAAACAAACAGTGCGGCGGTCGACCGTAGAGACCCCTCCGGTCGACCGCTCACTGACCGAAACTCACTAGGCTCAAAATTGAGCGGTGGAACAAATATAAACATTTCAATAGTGATATATGGCAGTAAACAACCAGTTTAAATAGTTAAAACCTCATTACCAAAAATCCCAAACTTAAATCAACATGATTTTAAAAGTTCTTAAACAGTAAGAATAGATTTAAACCTTCATAAAAACGTTTCAGATCAAAATCTCATCAATTAGAAATCATTTGTGAACTTTTAAAGACCGAAATATATTATTTTCACATCTTATGCCATAAAGATCTATTTTATCTACATAACATACAATTTAGGCTTAATAAAACCGGATTAAAACTCAAATCTAAGCATAAAAACTAAAAGGGGTGAAGTTGGGCGAGATGTTACTCGCCTCTGATGAAAGCAACGCCCTAGATCTGAAGGAAGATGGTCCCTCTCGCTGAATCCACTCAAAATCCGCCGAATAACCCTTCAAAGCTCCTCCCAAATCACCAAAAAGAGAGAACTAGGGTTTGAGGAGAGAGAGGGGGGCTAGGGTTTTGATTTCAGATGAAAAAGTGTCTCTCTTGGGCTGATTAGTATATATACTAATCCCCAAACCCGACCCGAAACCCGATAAGACCCAAAACCCAGGAAAACTCTCTGCCCGCTGTGCGGTCGACCACCGCGCCCAGCACGGTCGACCGTACAACAGGAGAAAAGTCTCCTGAGTGCCCGACTGCTGCGCGGTCGACCGCCGCGCACGTCGCGATCGACCGCATAGCAGAACAACTGCCTGCTATGCCTGTTTGACATCCTGATCAATCCACTCGTTTTCTCCAACATAGAATTTCTTGCTAGGCTCCCAAACACTATTCATCACAATTTAATATATATATATATGATAAATTTTCACAAAAGAATTATTCATCACTAATAATTCAATATATATTTATATATATCTTTATAAAATTTACGGGGTTCTACATCAACTTGTTTCACGGTGCAAATTTAGTTCATCTAATTTAATTTACGAATGAATGTGATAAAAGATAATTTGGCAGTTTAAATTAATTGATTTAAATTAGAAGACTAATTTGATTTTAAGGAACTTATTTACAGTATCAACTTTTCAAAAACTCGTTTTAAAATATATGAGCTAGGGGCTAAATATCTTTTAGAAGACTAATATGAGTAACCTCCAGATTACTAATTGTATTTACACAGGTAGTATCGATAATCTCAATATTAAAAAAATAGACTCCATAATAGACCGTATAATTACAACCAATAATCAAAGAACTAGAACTATATGTGCAAATTTACAGAGTCCAAGGTTAGTTATATCATACTTTAGCCAGCTTATTTTAACTGTGGAAAATTTATTAAATTTACAAATCAAAATTTTTTTAGCTAATTTGGTTATTTTTTATATTACAATAATACCAAATTAAAGTTAAATGTCGTTGGTAGTATCATAATTTCACAAGTAAAAGGAAAAGCTTCATACTAGAAACATGGTCCTTTTACAATACAAGTATGATAAGTTGGCTGACTAAATGGTACTTAAACATCCAATTATTTTTATCATATTTATGCTTAACTATCCTAAATTATCCATCATTAGAATATTGTAAATATTAAAAAAAAACTATTATGACAAAAATACGTCTTCATATGGTAAATAAATAAAAAAGAGAGGATATGTATAGTGATGAATATGACAATAAACGAGAACAATACAATTATAAAAATGTTAAGTGCTAATTTACTCTCTGGGTCTTTATTCTCTTTTGGTTAATTTATTCTCTTGTGGTAATTACAAGTTTTATTGTGTTATATATCATGATTTATGAATCGAAAGTCGTTACCCCTAGTTTCCCGTCTAATAATGTTGGATGTGAATCTCTTCTGATATAAACTCCCTTAATTCTAGTTGGATGTGAAAATACTTTTTACATCTAAAGAGAATAACGTGATTTATGTTAGGAGCATGATATACATGCAATAATTATTAGATCTGTCCGGGGAGGAGTCCCCTTCTCGTACAGGTTAGGAATACAGTAGTGTATCATCTATCTTTGTATACTTTATGCATTTTTATTCCCTATAAATTTCGATAACACGTACCGCATTGTTCTCGGTATACAATAAGCGTATGTTGTTTTGCGTATCGATCTATAATCGATCTATTATCGATGATTGATACGCATTATAACATCTGCACAGTGTACTCGGAGAACTGCGGGTAGGTGTTGCCGAAATTTTTAAGAAATAAAAACGCTTAAAGTATATAAAGGTAGTTGTAAACACTACTATATTCTTAATGGGATAGGTCTATTTCCTATGACAGCCGTTAAATTGTCTTATTTCAAATATGAGCGTTAGATTTTACTCCCACATAATTTATGTTCTGGTAATTTTCCCTCCTAGATTATTATAATTAAAATTTCCTTGATGTCGTGAAGAAAGTTAATATCACGCAACCTTTAATTTGATGCGTTACTAATAAAAATTCACATTACCTAATTATGCTTAATATCATACAGATCTATGAGGATAGTTCCGGACAAATCATGGATCGATATTCCTCGTATTAATAGATGGAGAGATAGTCGATATAAAGATGGAATAAATCAATTCATACAGTATGCCTTGGCAGACCCACGAAAGTTAAATAGTGATGTCGTGTATTGTCCCTGCTGTTGGTGTAAAAATAGGGCGTTGGTGGATAAAAGTGATTTATAGAAACACTTAATATCAGGATTCCATGAGGAGTACAAATATTGGACGTTTCATGGGGAAGGATGTCTTGAAGAAATGGAACTGATAGCGGATACCGGTACTTCCTGTAGGAGAATAGATGATACGAGAATAGATGATACATATACGATGCTCGGGGATATGTTAACAGTTCCTAATATAGATCAATCTGATTATGCTGAGGATGCTGACGAGTCAGGAAATGCTGGAGGCGTGACTGATCATGAGGAGCTGGCGCAGATAATGAAATTAATAGACGATAATGAAAACGATCTGTACGAGGGTTGCACCGAGTTCACCAGGTTATCATTTATGCTGCGTCTTTTGCGTATAAAGTCTCTTAGCGGAATGGCGGATAAATATTTTAATATGTTGCTTGTGTTGCTGAGAAAAGTCATTCCAAATGGAAAAGATAGCATACCAGAAAATTATGATAACGCAAAGAAGATTGTTTCTGTTATAGGACTTGATTACAATAAAATCGACGCATGCCCTAATGATTGTATCCTCTACTATAAAGATAACAAAGATCTTCAGGAGTGTCCAACTTGTGGAGTATCACGGTGGGTACAACACAAAAATTATTCAACACATGGGACAACATGGTCTATGCTTAAGCAAAAGAAGATTCCAGCAAAGGTCCTGCGTCATTTTCCCTTAATACCAAGGCTAAAACGGTTGTATATGAATAAAGACACTACTAAGCAAATGAGGTGGCGCATGGAAGAACGTACTAATGATGGTAAAATCAGACATCCGGCTGATGTAGAGGCGTGGAAGCATATGGATAGAACTTTTCCTTGGTTTGCGAATGAGTGCAGGAATGTTAGACTAGGTTTGTCTAGCGACGGATTCAATCCATTTGGGATAATGAGTTCTGGTTGGTCTACATGGCCTGTGGTATTAACGCCTTACAACTTACCACCTTGGCTTTGCATGAAACAACCGTATATGATACTTTCATTATTGATACCAGGCAAGCATGCACCAGGCAATGACATAGATGTGTTTTTAGAACCGCTAATTGATGAGTTAAAACAACTCTGGACTGAAGGTGTTATGACTTCTGATACTCATGCAAAGCAGTCTTCAGACTACGTGCTATTTTACTATGGACAATTAATGATTTTCAAGCCTATGCGAATCTTTCAGGTTGGTCTACAAAGGGAACATATGCATGTCCAGTGTGTGGTCCAGAATTCAAAGGCCTTTATCTGCAGCACAGTCAAAAGTTTTGTTATTGGTTTAATAGAAGGTGGTTGAACATAAAACACAGGTACAGAACCAAAAAATGGAGCAAGTTTTTTTATGATACTGTTGAGAAGAGAGATGCTCCGCGTCCATTACGTGGGGATCAGATTGTACATTTGTTTGAGATGTTCCCCGCCGCCAGGTTTGGAAAGAAGCGCTATTCGAAAGAAGATTTACTTGGAGTAAGGAACTTGCGTATTAACAAAAGGATACCAAAACGAAAGAGACAAGCACAAGTGGTGAGTGATAGGGCTGAAGTCGTAAAATTACTTTCAGGATGGACAAAATTCAGCATTTTTTTTCAACTCCCCTATTGGAAAGAGCTAAAAATACGTCACAACTTGGACGTTATGCACATTGAAAAAAATATTTGTGATAATCTTTTGTCCACACTGTTGCAAGATGCTAATAAATGAAAGGATGATCTACGAGCTCATCGAGATCTAACTGCATTGAACATTAGAGAGGAACTGCAGCCAAAAATTATCGGAAATGACCGATTAGAGTTGCCTGCGTCTCGTATTACAATGTCAAAAGTTGAGATGCAAACATTTTGTCAAGTCCTCAAATCAATAAAGTTACCAGATGGTTACTCCGCAAACATATCGAACTATGTCCAGAATGAAAAATTTAGTAACGCAACAATACATATTGTTTTTATTTTCGCCAAGCTAATTTGCATCTATGTTATATTAATTTGTATGTTTATTCAACTTGCAGATGTCTAAAAATATTAACAGGAGGTTATTCGAAGCTAACCCCAGTCAAGACCAATCCACTGATGAAGAGCCTCCGAGTTCAGGAGAGATGTCAGGTATAACTTAGTTTAACTTACGTATTTTTATTCATGATATATGCACAATGATAATTTATTTCTTTTATTTTTATAGGTGAGGGTGAGGAAGAGCCGACTCACATGCTATTATATGCAGATCCTCCAGTTATACTTCGAGCATACATTCCTGGGATTGAGCGCGGGCCCTTACCAGCATGTGCAGAGGGATACAGACTCAAGCAGACTGAAAAATACATGCTTGAGAAAAAAAGATTGGATGAATGGGCCCCACAGATTGAGGAGATTTTTTCTGATGCAAAAAATGAAATCAGACAAAGATTTGGTGAGTTTGATCAAAAACTTAATCAATTCCAGAATTTTTCTTCTTCCTTTTTTAGTAAATTCTAAGAGCTTAAATAAAAGTGTTGATTAAATAAAAGTGTTGATATATCTATTATTTCTTTTTTGTAGGTGAAAAACTTTACCAGAAGAAAGGACGTTAAGGAAGTGACTTTAAAAAAAAGTTACCACCGGATGGTTTCCGAGCAATTGTGAGATGGGGACATTATGGGAATCCAACCGGACAATGGGCTAATAACTTCAGCTCATACCTTGGATGTTTGATACGGAGGAGTGATAATGTGAATCCCTATTATGAGGCTTGGGAGCAGCCATTTCATGTCCTGGAGAGTATATATCGAGATTGTTGGGTAAATTCTTATATTTAGCACAATTATTTTTCAATTCTATCAATTGTCCATGCTTAACTATATTTTATTTTTTAGAGATATTTCAACATCAAAGACAATCCCATAGGGTGGGAATTTTTATTTGGATACCAGGGAAAGTTCAAGCATTCTCTTCGGGAGTGGAGACATGAGATAAAGAAGAAATGCTTTGATTGTTTCACTCACAACTGGGAGAGGATATACAAGCGAGATAAGAGGGTTGAGCCTGAGCACTTAGCTGCACTTATAATATTGTGGGGCCAAGAGGAGCACCAGGTAAATATGTATAGTAGTTAATTATCATCAAGTTATTTATCTGAAACTAGTGATATATTCCATTGTATATTATACCATGCACTAAAATTCTCTTTGTTCATGTTGAAGGAAAAATGTAGGAGAAATAAACTTAATCGATGGAAAAAAGATTACGATCATCATACAGGGACTACTTCATTTGCCTAGATTGAGGATCAATTTTGTAGGACAACGGTATAAAGTCTTTTAATCTTCTATGTATATTCTCTCCGCTTCTTAGAATATTTGATAAATAAAACTAATAAATATATTGTTAAATCTCAGAACGCTCCCTTTATCCCACTACCACAACTGCACAGGAGAACAATGGTTCAATTTAAGAAGGGGTACGATGAGGATGAGACTAAGAAACAAAAGATAGAATTGGCGAAGAAAATGCAGGTTAACTAATTATCTTAGCTCTTATTAGCCTGTTATCATGTTGGGAATTTATTGTTTGCACTCTTCTTTTGGTCATCCTTAGCTCTTATTAGCCTGTTATCATGTTGGGAATTTATTAGCACTTAACACTCTTCAACTATTTATTAGCACTTAACACTCTTCTTCACATGTACTTTTATGTTGCACAAACTATTTATTACACATTATAACCAAAATTTAACTTCAACATACTACTGAGTGTTAGACATTTAGAATTTAGAAGGTCATGGTAAAAATTTATGGCTTTGTACATGCGGAAGGCATATCTTTATGGCCAAGAGTGTCTTAGACGCATTCATCTCTCGCCTAAGGGGAGGCAGCTTGAGAACCTATGCCAAACTGCAAGCATGTTTAAATTTAAAACATAATGTGTCAAGTACAAGCATGTTTTAGTTTTGTTTGCAATAAAAGAGTAGCATCACTAAGAGAATTCTAGTGCACTACTTAGACAGCATGGTTTAGTTAACAGAAAAGTGTTTTTTTAATCATCTTCATCTCTGTAGGCGTGGTGGTTTTTTCAGCCAATCTTTGCACATACAGTTTCATATTTTAAATTGTTATGCAGATAGTGAGTTAGACAGGTCGATAATGTATCCATTAGGGGAACTTAAACTCTCTGATGTTTAACCTGCTCAGTGTGGGTGTGTGCTCTGCAGTCATGTGTGCCAACTCTTGTGTTTCAACGTGTGGTCACCTGTGGGTCAACGTTGGTGTGTGCATAATGGCATGTATGCACGTACATGTTTGTGTGGGGTGGGTCATGCTTGTGTTTCATGAAAGTTGTTAACAAGGTAAATATTCTCTAAGTGTCTTTGACATGTCAAACAGTCAAAAATGTCAATTTTTAGGTTTACAAGAAGTGGGACCTCGCTGTTTTACAGCTGTAATTTCTGCAAGGCAGCTAGATGTGTTGAGAAAACACCAACTGAATGTATAGAATATAGTTTGATGGAAGGTACATATTCTAATTCATATTCCTTGATAGCCATTGCTGCATAAAAGGAGAGGGCATTTTCTAATGACTTACAAGCCAAAGCACCCTTCAACTATTTATTAGCACTTAACACCCTTCTTCACATGTACTTTTATGTTGCACAAAACACCCTTCACATGTACTTTTATTTTACTTGTTCAGGTAAATATCTTTTATTTTTGAAAGGCTAATTCTTAAATTTATTTTTTGGACTTCTAGGAAGCTCTGGAAAACACGTATTCTGAGGTTGTTGCACAGTGCCAAGAGCCCCTGACTAGAGAGCAGAATTATAATGTGAGCCATCTAGTTTGTGGACTTCCTAAAAAAAGGAGGACTAGGTGGATGGGAGTTGGAGCTTAGAGGGTGTCTACACAGTTCCAGCCTCCGCCGAGTTCCACACCCTCGACTATGCCATCGGGGCCCTCTTACATGCCGCAGGAGGATTGCACTCAGCAGGCGATGCAGCTTGTTTCCTCTGTGATGAGTATGTTAGATGGTTAGATTCCCGAGGAGATGTGGGAGGATAATCAAGAGGAGCTTATGCGAGTGACCCATCCTACTGCTACTTTTGCGATGGTTTCTAGGCAAATAATGAAATCTTATAGAAGGCGGGTTCCTACTCGGGTGCAAAGCCAGATTATGAACTTCTTGGCCACTCAAAAGGCATTTACGGCGGGTTCCTACTCGGGTGCAAAGCCAGATTATGAACTTCTTGGCCACTCAAAAGGCATTTACTGGTACTGGAGAGAGTAGCAGACAAGTATACTTATTATATTTGTAAATCATGATTACACACAATATTATGTGATTCTAAATTTAAATTATTTTGTTGTTAGATTGGAGATGATACTATTGGGAGCACGAGTCGTAGGGATGGATCCGCCACTGGTAACGCGGACGATGACATGGATAGGGCGGATGACATATCTTAGTGAGTTATATCCTAAACTCGTGTTTGAATATTGTGGACATCTTTATAGTTGAGATTATGATACTTGTGTTTGTATATTGTGGACATCTTTATAGTTGAGATTATGATACTCGTGTTTGTATATTGTGGATTTAGAACTTATGATATGTGTGTATTGTTTGTTATGAAAATTATTATTGTGGATTTGGAACTTATCGTGATAAGTGAATGTATATATTTCGATTGTTTGTGAAAATTGATTGGATGAGAGGTTTAATTGGGAAAATTTGGATTATATTCATTGCGAGATGTTTTGGAATGCGTGTGAAATGTCGTTTGGAGATTTGTACGTACAGGGAATATATATATGTATAGGGAACTGAGTATATGTCACCAGATTTTTTTAGCTACTAATACTTATCGCTGACGGGCTTCCCGTCAGCGATAGGTATCGCTGACGGGAAGCCCGTCAGCGATGTACATAACATAGCTGACGAGTTCCCCGTCAGCGATAGTTATAGCTGACGGGAAGCCCGTCACCCGATATTTACAAACATCGCCTGACGCGGTCCATTGTCAGCCCGATAAGTATCGCTGACGGCGGATCCCAGTCAGCGATGCGGAGAAACATCGCTGACGGGAATCCCTGTCAGCCGCTTTTCTCTATCGCTGACGGGTTTTGCCTGCTCACCGATACCGCCAGTCAGCTCGCATACTTCATCGCTGCACCGGCCGCCGTCATCGATAGTCCTTTCCCGAAGGGACTATCGCTGACGACGTATCCTTGACGGGACGCCGTCAGCGATACTTATCGCTGACGGGAATTGGGGCATCGCTGACGGGAATGCCCGTTAGCGATACATGATTTTCCACTAGTGCTTAAAGAGGGAACCGCCAAAAATCGTCGGATCCCCTCCAAGTTCCCTTGATGTGCTTCAAATAATTTCCAAATTGTATAAGTACTATCAAAATGAGCAAGTTCGTTAGAAATACATGGACCTAAAGTATTATGTACAAATTCTAACACTAACTTGTTCATTATGCTGGTCTTCTTATTTTGATGATGATTTACAAATAATTTACATCTTATGTTGTTTGTCTAGTATTTGTGTTTTGTATTTATTCTAGGCAAACAACATATTAGAGGATGGATGGATTGTGCCATAACGATCATATCAAATGGAGGTTGGTGGAATAGTGGTTGACGCCTTGCTATTCAAGTTGAAGATCCAAGTTCAAGCTTCATTTGCAATGTGTACCAAGTCAAGCTTATTGAATATTAAGATCAAGCTAGGGTAACATTAGTTTAGGTTTATATTACGTGTGTTGGCACTTTAAGCGCAATCATATATACACACACATTATATTGGTTTACTTATATATATATATAGTTATATACATATATATACAACACAAGTTTTGGTTTTTTTATATATATATACACATAGTTATATATATATACACAATTTAGTTTTTGGTTTCTATGTATATATAGAGTTATATATATACATACACAGTTTTGAGTTTTCATGTTTCATATTTATTATTGTGTTTTGGTTTAACTATATAGATATGAAACAAATATACATTAATATATATCCTCATATGTTTCATACTCTATTATGTTTAAATATATATTGCATAGAATATGCAATTTTGTGGAAATATTGATTTCTTAGCATATGGACTTAACAATAATGATATACATCTTCTATTAAGTCTATATAATTATTTTGTATTATTTCAAAACATAGTTTAGTCAAAATGTTAAAACATGTATGTTTAGTTTTCATGTTTTTGGACTATTTTGCAAAATATTAATTTTTTACAAATATGAAGTGCAATTCTAAAAATTCTTTTTGTAACATGTTCATTTACATGTTTATAAACATTTTTCAAAGTTTTAAAATTTTTGGCATTTATGTGCTATTTTTAAAGGCACTTCAAAGTTGAGTTTTCTCTGTGCATTTTAGGTTTGTGCACATATAAGTCGATTCAAAAGTCGACTCATGAGTCGACTCATAAGTCGACTTATGAAGTGTAGCCCAGTTGTGTTTTTCTTCTGCTGAGTCGACTCATATAAGTCGACTCATAAGTAGACTTATAAGTCGACCCATAAGTCGACTCATAAGTCGACTTATCAGAGAATCGTTGCACATTAACGGTTAGTTTTCTGATTTGTTTGTTTATGGGTTTTTGGTCTTTTTCTTGGGGTTTTTGCTGAAGTTTTGAGTGAGTATAAATACCCCATTACCTTCAGTTCTTCATCTATCCAAGAGAATATTTTAACAAAGTTTTAACAAGGGTTTAAGTTTTTAGTTTTGTTTCAAAGAGTGTTTAAGAGTTTTGTTTGTGAAGAGAATTTCAGTAGAGCAAGTGGAGATCATCCTTGGTGTTTGTGCATTCACTCTTCTCCCTCTCTCTTGTTATTTATAGAGAAGTTTTCCTATACTCAATCTAGCTTTATATTTACATTTTTTAATAACCATTTTATTAAGCTAGTGTTTATATTGAGTTTAGTTAATTTTGTTTACTCTTTGTTTACACACACAAAGCTAGTGTTTATATTGAGTTTAGTTAATTTTGTTTACTCTTTGTTTACACACACAACCATTGAGCTTATTGTATTTGCATACATTGTATAATTTGTACACACACAACCATTGAGCTTATTGTATTTGCATACATTGTATAATTTGGGTTGTGGGGTTTGTGTGACGTTCAGTGCGAGCCTACATTATGTTCTCATCTATTGTAGAGAACAAATTTATATTTGTGTGCTTAATTGTGAAGTTTACTTTGTAATACA